AGATGGTGCCTCCCCACACTTCCCTCCGAAAAGCTCCTGACCTGGGAGCTGTGGATGCTGGTGGGTGCCTTTGGGTGCGGGGAGGGCGGTCATGGGAAGATGGATCAACCAAGAGCTGAGTCTGGCCCTCCCTAAGGTGACCAGATTTTAACATTGGTAAAGCGGGACAAAAACGGGACACCATTGATAAAACTCCTATCCTGGTGAAATAGCCACATGTCAGTCCAAAACCGTCTACCCTAGCTTGTGCATTCTTTCCAATAATCACGACTTTTTAAAACGCCACGGGATGCGGGAAAAATTGTTAAAAATCGGGACGTCTGGTCACCTTATATTGGACCCCCATCCACTGTGACCCCTTTGGGGAGAGAAGACCAAGTGGCTGGGGCCTGGGGTCCCTTCGGGAGCCTGGCGGGGAGATGCCTGGGGCTGGGTGTTGGCTGTTCGTATCTGAGCGTAGCCATTAGAAACCAGACTTGGGCGCCAACGACTAGACGAGGCTGTGCTGGAAACCCAAGGAGGGCAGCGCAGGGTAAGGCCCAGCGCCAAGCCTGAAGACCCCCCCAAGTGAAGCTTGGTGAGTCAGGGCCTCAACAGTTGTAATCAGCACCCCTCCACCCCCAGTGTCTGACAGAAACCAACAAACAGCCGAATCCCTCCGGTCCCGCCCAGCCTATCCACCGGGTGGGGTGGGGGGGACCAGATTAACCATTAACCCCCCAGCCCTCCCCGGCAGAGCCTCCACCCCTGTGGCGAGCCTAGGCCAGGCTCCCGGCAGAGCCTCCCAGAGGACGTTTGAGACGCAGGAAGGCAGAGAGGGCGCCTGGGAGGGGCCGAGACAAGGCCCCGGGCCTTCAGGGCGGGCATCCTGGGCTGGGCAGGTGGCCGAGGGGTGGCGGCAGGAGAGAATGCGCCTCTCTAAAACACTGGCCGACATGGACATGGCCGACTACAGTGCCGCGCTCGACCCGGCCTACACCACCCTGGAGTTTGAGAACGTGCAAGTGTTGACCATGGGCAATGGTAGGTGTGGGCAGCCGTGCCCGGGCGCGGAGCGGGTCTTGGGCATTCTGGAGTAGGAGTGATGGACAAGATTGGTTGACCCTGTAGGGGGAACTCAAGTGTTGCCTGGGTGAAGCCAGGGTGTTCAGACACCAGGACCGGGGGCATGCTGGGGGAAGGCGGGCAGGCGGGCAGGGGCAAATTTCCAGCGAGTCCACTACAAGAGAGGTCTTCTTGGAAGGCCCTCAGAGCTCTTCCTGCTTGGTGTGTGGCTTGCGGGCAGCAGGGTGGCCAGCTTCCTCTTGGCATCCAGCTCCTGTAATGCACCCTAACACGGTCCCCTCTCCAACCCCACAAGGCCTAGATCCAGAGAGATGGAAAGGTACGCCCCAACCCTGGCCGTGGCGGGAGAAGGCACAGCTGCATTTCAGGGTGTCCTTGGGGCTCTTCTCCGGTGGCCACCCCACTTATAGAAAACAAAGTTTTCCAGGGGAGCCTGGTTACTTGCTGAAAGCCCACCACCTCCGCACCGTGTGGGCTGCGTGCGTGGCCCCCCGGGTGCACACAGGCCCTGCATCCCTGGGTGGGTATCCCCCAGTCTGTGTGCACGCTCATCCCTGCCGGAAGACATTTGCAAGGCTGTGTCCCTCCGTCCATGTCCCATGGGCATTTCCTAGGTATTTGTTTCTTGCTTGGGACTGTGTATGTACGTGTCCGGGCACCTGTGCATGTGTGTAAATGAGTGTTGTGTACAGCCGTGGATATGGATGGTGTGTGCCTGTGATTTCTGGGCGTAGGTCTGTTTGCGGGCACTCTGTCACTGCGTCAGATGACATGTGTCCCTCTTCTGGACTGCAGGGGGCAGGGGGAGATACATGCTGTGACCGTATGCAGACAAAACGTGGGGGCGCCTGACATTGCCGTTCCCCCAAATGAGACTCCCGCTGGCTATATGGCCATTTGCCTCCGAGCAGGTTGTGGTGGGCTCTCTCTGCATCCTGCCCAGCACCAAGAGGGGGTGTCCACTTCTTTTCCACAAGGCAAGGCAGTGGCTGCCAGCCGAGCTCACCCATGGCTTGGAGTTGAGCAGTAGGGGGTCCACCCATGGCTGCTTGGTTCTGCAGCGTTCAGCCCAGCTAGAAAGAGGAAGCAGTGACCAGGCCGGGGGTGGGGATGGCGGGCACTCACTGCTGTGGTCCAGCTCATCAGGGTGTTTGCCCACTGCTGGCATCCACTCACTGTGGCCTTGGGCACACCACCTGCCCTCTCTTGGCTTCTGTCTAGTCTACCTACAAAATGGGCTACCTCACCGCTGCCTGCTGACAGCCGGCTTTTAGGAATGCCCAGGGTCACAGGCTGGCATGGTAAACAAGGGCTCTGTGCGTGGTAAACATAGGGTGTTGTGGGAGCCTGTAGGGACAGTGTGTGCTGTCCCACACCTGGCCAGGGCCCAGCCCCTCACCCCCCACCCCTTCAAAGCCTGTGTCCCCAGCTCCCAGGAACTGAGTGCTTTCTGAGGCAGAGGCCAAGCCCAGCCTGGCACCTGGGTGTCCCCAAAACAGGACCGCTTCTGGTCCTGGAGCCAGTGAGATGTGGGTCAAACGCTGGCCTCGGTCCTTTCTACCTGTGTGAGCTCGGCTCCTGCCTTTGCAGGCCGCCTCAGTTTCCTCATCTGTAAAATGAGGATACATTGTCCTGTTACCTGCCACCTACCCCATGGCTGACCAAGGACATCCCTGAGTCCTTCCCATGGGGGACTGGTGCCAGCCCCCACATGGGGGGTCGGTCAGAAGGGCTGTGTCCTCAGAGTGTGAGAGCTGGAGAGCTGTGAGGTTTTGCCCAGCTCAGTTTGCACACTCAGATCTGGTGGCTCCCAGGCTCCCAGGGTAAGCCCTCCCCAGCCCTGCCCCCCATTCAGAAGCAGCAACAGCAACACCAGGGGGTCCTTACTTCTCTGAGGTGCTGAAGCCACCTTACAATGTGAGCCTGGCCGGAGAGGCTGCCAGCACCCCGGCTCCTCCTGCGCTCAGCAGCAGAAGGCCCACCCCTCAAGCTTCAGGGCCCACCCTGGAGGTGGAGGATGGAGCATGAAGTGTAAGGGCCTTCCGCCGGCCTCTGACCACATGCCCCGGACCTGTGGGGTCAGCTCGCCCTGGGCATGTGGAGTGTTGTGGGGTCAGCTCAGCCTGGGTGGTGTCCGGTTAACCAGTGAACAAGGTGAGGGCAGGCTTAACCCAGCTCACGGCCATCAAGTGGACGCCAACCTGCAGCAACCCTGTGGGACAGAGTCGAACACCTGGGGCTGTCCGAGACTGTAGCTCTTTATGGGAGTCTTACTCACCTGTATGCAGTGGTAACGAGCTTCACTGGGTGGGAGGGCTGTTTTTCACCCCATTGGCTGGGGGCTGTCTCGCTCCTGACCCCACAGTGCCATCTCAGAGAATCACAGCCTCTTTTCAAACGTGTGATTCCTGACAGGAGTGGAGCACTCGTCAGCAAGGCAAGCACAGCTTCCTTGTGCTTACTCACTCATTTGTGAAGTATTTCACATCTGTGGTGAGCAGTTTCATGTGTTTTTCACCACAGTAAGTAAGCACAAGTAAGTCCATGCTTCCCTTGCTACTGGGTACTCACTCCACCCCAGCCCTGGAGGTGGGGGTGGGTGTTAGGAAGTTAATTCTCTTGGGGGGTGGTGATGAGGGGGTGAGGCTAAGGGAGAAAGGGCACCAGAATGACTAACAATTACCCCCGAGTCTGGGAATAATTCACCAGGCAAGGGGGCCACAATCCTGGGCACACTTGAAGTCCCAGGAGACCGTCAGCTGGCGAGAGCCAGAGAGAGATGCAGCTGTGTCCTCTGCTGCCTGGACGCCGGGAGGCTCAGGCGCTGAGCGGTTTCTTTAGCAGCAGTGATTTTATGCCACGGACACTGATAGATATCAATTCTCGACATCCCCCTAATGGCCCTCGGGGTCATGGCGCACCACCGCGCGCACGCCCATGTGACAAGTGAGGAAGCTCGGGGTTGGAGACATGAAATAATTCGGCCACCACCACACTGCTAAGAAGTGGAGGAGCCGGGATTCGAACCAGGACATAAGGCCCCCAAGTTGGTGCTCTTAGTTACAATCTGGGCCTCTCTCCTGTTTCCTAACTGCATGACGCCTTAGGACTCTGTGGATGGGTTTGGGGGGCGAGGGGTGTCCTGTGGAAACTGGTGTGTAACCACGTGGGGAACGTGCCTGTGTTTTTCCTGGGGAGATGGTGTGCAGCTTTCTTTGTGTTCCTTGAGGGGTCAGGCCTTGGTGGAAGATTTGCTTATTAAAAAATAATAATAGAGGGTTCAGATACTGAAAAAAGGGAAGAAAGAAACAAGCAGAGCAGTCAAACGGTCCTATTTTGCAGCGATGGAAACTGAGGCCCAGGGAAATCTGAATTGAGGACAAAGGCACTTGCCCAAGGCGCAGGCAAATTCACGTCAGGATGGGCACCATCACCCAGGAGGCCTGACATCCGATCCAAGGTCTCCATTGGCATGCTGCCCCTTACCCCCACTCCTCACATCTCCACCCAACCTAGTACCGCTGGGCTCGGGAGAAAGACGAGACTTTCTACTCCTGAAGAGAGTCCCAGTCTCGGAAACCCACAGGGGCAGTTCTACCCTGTCCTAGGGTGGCGGTGGGTCAGAACTGCCTCCATGGTGGAGAGATGGGAGTTTTGGAGCACCCCTGGGACAGGAGATCCTCAAGGGGCACCCAGACATGGGGCCCTGACCCTCCCAGGCAGGCAAATGAGCAAAATATCTCAGAGCCCAGTCCCTCTGCTCCTCACTCAGCCCAGGTCACTCGGTGAGAAATGAAGGGCAGGACTTAGATGGGGGGCAAAGCTAGGGGGAGGGACATCTTTATCCCTCCCACACCTGGCCTACTTTCCCACCCTGTCAATCAGGAGTCTCCCGGGGTCACCTGTGCCCGAGGAGGTGTCCAAATTTTTCATTTCTTCCCAGAGGAGCCCCAGCCAGTGGCCAGCCCCGTGGGGGGGAAGCAGACATGCCCAGACCATCCTGCGGACTCAGGGTTGCAGCCACCCCAGCTTAGGGAGGTGAAACTGAGGCTCCACAGGGCCAACTGTCAGGGATGATAGAGCCCAGGATGATAGAAGCCCCGGCTTCTGAAGGGCCACAGCCCAGACGAGGCTCTCGGCCCCTCCTGAGTCGGCGCTCCCTGCTCTTCACCGCCAGAAACATCCCCGTCTGAAAGTGCCAACCTCAACGCACCCAGCAGCCTGGGGGTCAGCGCCCTGTGTGCCATCTGTGGGGACCGGGCCACGGGCAAGCACTACGGGGCCTCGAGCTGCGACGGCTGCAAGGGTTTCTTCCGGAGGAGCGTGAGGAAGAACCACATGTACTCCTGCAGGTGAGGAGTCCCCACACCTTACCCCAGGCCTTGACTTCTCCAGCTGGGAGGTGGGCGCGCTTGGGCTAATGTCCCCCAGGGCCCATCTTCTTCCTGCCTGGGTCCCAGAGGCACCTCCTCTTCAAAGCTTCCAAAGCCCCTTGGTTCCTTAGGCCTTGAGGGTGCAGAAGAGAACACCTCGCCTGGGAATCCCATTCCCTGCTCATCGAGCTGTGGGCTGCCGTGTATTGAGCACTTACTGTGTGCCAGGCACAGTGTAAGCCTTTGCACGTGTTGCCGTGAGGAATCCGCCCGGCGGCCTCATGTTAGGACTCCCACCAGAGCACATAAGGAGCCAGAAGGCTTTGGATCTAGCCTCCTCTGGAGCCTCAGAAAGTGGGGGGGGGTGTCCTCCTCCACTGGGAGCCTTTTCTGGGGCAAATGGGAAACCCACCCCCAGAGCTTTCTACCCTGCGGCCTCGGACATGCTTCCTCCAAAAGCCCCCCCATTCTGAGCAACAGCCCCCAACAGGCAATAGCAGCTGCCAGGCTTGAGCCTCGTTGGGCTCTTGGCGTTTGCTGGCTGGCTGGTGCCTGTGTCCACCTCTCAGAGGTGGTTTCTGAGATGATTCCCGTTATATGGATGAGGAAACTGTGGCTAGGAAAGGGGTCAGAGTGTACCTGAGGTCGAGGGTGGAGCTAGGGTTGACATTAAGGGCTCCTCCCCTGCCGTGATGCTCCGCTGCCACTACCTCTTGAGCCCAGCCCCTCTATGGACGCTGGGCTTCTCTAAGTGTGATGGAAATGGCACTGCCCCGGGGCCTCCAGAGGCTAGGGTTCACCTCAGCTCTGCCACTGACTAATTGAGTGCCCCGGGACCCACGTGTTGCCTCTCTAAACCTCAGTTTCCCCATATTTTTTAGTAGGTTGGAGTTGACAGCCTTCCCAACTCCTGGTTCATTAGGTGGGGGATGAAGGGTGGGAGTAAGGAGGTTGGTGGTAGGAGGTGGGGATCAATCAGATGGCCAGGTTCCTAGTTTCTTCCTGGAAGGCGAAAGGCTGTCTCCTCCCCACCCAACCCTCCCCAACCCTCCCCAACCCTCCCCAGGTTTAGCCGGCAGTGCGTGGTGGACAAAGACAAGAGGAACCAGTGCCGGTACTGCAGGCTCAAGAAGTGCTTCCGGGCTGGCATGAAGAAGGAAGGTGAGCCCGGCCCGCCCCACCACCCCACTGCCCTCCCTGCACCCACAGCACCCCGAGAGTCATTTACAACTGCGGACACCACTTTATGGCTGGGCAACAGGTCCCAGGGCCACTGGCTAATGGCTGAGAGGAGGGTGGGGCTGGGAAATCTGGCCATAGGGAGGGGCTGGGCTTGGTCCTGAGAAAGAATCTGGGAGATAAGCTGCCACTCTCAGCTCCTCAGCTCCTCTTGCAAGCAGTGGCCAGACCACCCTGCTGCCTTCCCATAGTGAATTTCACACCTCAGGCCGGAAGTGGAAGGGGAGGCTCTTAGTCCATCCAGGTTTGGAGTAAGAGACCAGGGGCACGCTAGTCTGGAATCGCCCGCCCCAGGGACATCTGCCCCCAACGCCTTTCCTCCTCATCCTTATGTGCCCGGGAATGGTTTGCACGTTCTAGAAAACGGGAGCCAGACTCCAGGCTTATCCTAGGTGATGGGAAGGAGGGGAACATGACCCTAAGGGCTTGCCCCGCTCCTGCTGCCTGAAGCTAGCTACCTATCCCTGGCTGGCTGCTGTCAGTGAGCACCTTTCTGTCTCAGGACGATCCTGGGTGACTGCCACTGTCAAGTACCCCCTTCTCTTCCGTGGACGAAGGAAAGGAGGCCCAGACTGGTTAAGCACCTTGCCTAAGGCCCCACAGCTGGCCAATGGAAGGCCTGAGGTTTGAACCCTGAAAGTTTAAGACTCAAGTTCAGAGCTATCTGGACAATGCTTTCATCTCCTGCCCCACCCCGGGCCCCAGGAATATGGAAAATTGCTTTCAGCCAGAGTTTATCTAGGACAAATCTCTTTCACCTGCTTCTCAAAGAAATTTGAGTTCATTTTCTAATAAACCCCCTCCACCCCACCTGTTTCCTTCTGGGGCCCTGGTGGCCTACTGGTACTCTTTTGGGCTTCTAACTGCAAGGTCAGCAGTTCGAAACCATCAGCTTGCTCCGCAAGAGAAAAACAGGGCTTTCTACTCTGGTAAAGAGTTACAGTCTCAGAAACTCACGGGGCAGTTTCCACCCTGTCCTATCAGGTCGCTGTGAGTCAGCATCGACTTGACTGGACGGCAGTGAGTGAGTGAGTCCTCTCCCCCTGATCTCCTTGCTCCCAGCTCAGGGACTGGCCCCAGGCCTCCACTGCCACCCGAGCCAAGCCTGAGTCTAGTCCTGGACAGACACAAACCCCAGACACCCTTTAAGCAGGCGCCTGGGACCCAGGTGAGGGGAGTACACCTGGCAATCTCCCTGTCCCCTGACTGCCTCTGAGCCCATTTTCTCTGCCTACACCTTTGGAAATACCTCTGGGTCCCAGCTCTGGAAGGTGCCAGTGTGAGGGGGCTGGAAGATTTGGGTCTGCCAACCCCAATGGAGGAATGGACGGCCCCCAGATCTCAGGGATTCTCAACGTGGGTGAGGGGCCTTTCAAACCCCTAATGCCCCCTCCCTGTCCTTGCTCAGTTCTCCGTGTGGTTAAGTCTCTCTCCCCCCTTCTCCCTCCAATCTAAGAACCACCTTGTAAGGTGTGGGAAGGTGAGGCACACAGGAGATCTGAGGACAAGAGCGATGAAGACCTGTGATCTAAGGGCCCAGGTTTCTCTGCCTTGTGGCCAGTGTTTCCACTGGTCCAGTTGTCTAAGAGTTTCAAATTCTGTGATTGTCCAGAGTTATTATCCAGAGAGTTTGTGTTCAAGAGAAGGAACCCTTCCCATTGAAATGTCAGGCCTTGAGGCAGGCAGATGAGGAGATGGGTTGCCAGACACCCTGAGCAGATGGCTCCCTACCTGGATGGACCTGCAGGTACCCAGTCATTACAGATGACCCTTGTTCAATAAATACACAGACTCGTTGGCACATGTGTAATGTGGGGGACGCTTCTGTGCCTCTGGGCTCCAGTTCTGCCCTCTATAAGATAGTGCCATCACCTGTACAGGTAACAAGAGCCCCTAGGATATATATGTTTGCTCTCTGGTCCTCTCTCTCTGACCTGCCACAGAGCTAGCCTACCTGTGTCAAGTCTCCTAGAAGTGGGTGGAATCCCAGTTCATTCAGCCCTAAGTTGGCCTTGGAAATAGCTATCTGCCTCCTGACCAGGGCAGTGACATCACTGCACGAGGACAGGGAAGCAGCTGAGAGCAAGTGAGAGCAGGTTGGTCATCTCACACACTTGCCTGAGCCAACCTGAAGACCATGCCGCATGCAGTCTCCTGGGGCCGAAGCAGCGAAGTCTTCGGTTGTTGCCAAGACCAAGCTCTGGGAAGTAAGGTCATGGCGACCAGGTCTACCCAAGTCTTCCCGAGCACCTGGGTGGTCCGAATGCTTCATACAGGCAGCTGCTAACCAGAAGGCTAGCCCTTCAAGCCCCTCCACACACAATGCAGGAGGCAGGCCTGCCGGGTCAGAGGCCTGTGGACAACTCCAGGAAGCACAGTCCTGCTCTGCCACGTACAGTCATCACGGGTCAGAATCGGCTCTAAGACAACGGAGTTCACCTAAGTCTAGGGTGTCGTGGTTACACCTTCGGCTGCTAAGTTAGCAGTTTGAAGTTACAAGCTACTCCACACGCTGAAGACGAGGCTGTCTACTGCCATAAAGAGTCTCAGAAACCCACAGGGGCAGCTCTACCCTGTCCTATAGGGTTGCCGTGAGTCAGAATCAATTCAATGGCAGTGGGGTTGCTTCACTGATCAGACAGTTGGGAGGAGATTCCATTTCTCTTCCTTGCTGCCTTTAGCAGGGTTTCGGGACGGGAACTCAGAGTCGCCTCTGAGGGCAAGAACGTGTGACCATCGATTAAATGGAGGCTTTCTTCCCCTCTCCACTTCACAGAAGGGGGGCCTGAGGCCAGGGAAGTGATGGGAAGGGTCAGGACCAGAACGCAGGTTACCCAGGACAGAGCTAACACCAGCTCTCTGGATTGAAACAGGCATCAATCAGCTTGGGGGCATTATGGTCTAGACCCTTCTGACTTTCTCTTGACCTCAAACAAGGCCTCCAGGCCGCCCCCCAGGCCTGTGTCTCAGCCTGAGGACCAGTCACCGCAGTGGGCAGCAGGTGCCCTGGGCATCGGTGAGCCCAGCGGCAGGCTGAGATGGTTCCTCTAGCACCAGAGGCCAGGGACACCTCCCTGGGCCTCAGCCACCAGGCCCGGGCGAAGCGCTCAATCCTGGCATCTGAAGTCCAGCCCAGGAAGTAGGGTCAAGGATCAGAGGTCTTGGGATACAAGAAGTGCGGTTGGTGGTGGACCAGGTCTGGGACCTACCCCCCATCCGGCCTCCACCCAGGGGCCCTCTGGGAAGCCCAGCTCATCCTCCTCTCTGCCTCTTCCCCGTCGGTTAATATTCAATAGGAGTTACATTAGGTCCCCGACCCTGCTAATACTGAGCAAACATTTGGAAAACATCATTCCGTGACTGAGCTCGCGCCGGGCGCTGATAAGGCCGGCCTAACCTTGAGGAGCCTCCTCGCAGCTGCTGACAGCAGCCCTTTTATTCTGCCGGCCTCTGCCCCGCGAGGCGCCCAGTGGGGGCAGGCAGCCTGGCAGGCCCAGCAGCTACAGGAGGGTGTGGACAGGCGGGGCAAGTGGCAACTGGGCAGGAGCTGTGCAGGGTGGGGTGTGCTGCCAGTGGGGCCTCAAGTGGCCTGGTGGGGAGTATGGGAACTCCACTGACTCCTGGGCTCTGTTGGTAGCATTTTACTTTCTGATCCCTCACCCCCACCCCCCACCCCCCCTGGCAGGTCTGTGCAGAGTCAGGGGCGAGCTAAAGAGCAGGGAAATCAAACGGTTCCTTGGGAAAGAGGGTGCTTATAAGACTCAGAGCTCCTTCATCCACTCAGCAAATACCCTCAGAGTCCCGACTGTGTGTCAGGCACCATTCTAGACCGGGCTACAGCGTGAACTAGAGAGACGAGGCCTCCCTGTGTGCTCTCTGGAGCGTCCTTCTTGCACCAAGGGAGGCAGCTCACAAGAGACAGCTACTCCCAGGTCACTTGCTTAGGAGAAAAGCCAGGCCCGGGCAGCATGGGAGGGAGGGTGGGATGTTGTATTCCAGGGCGGCCTAAGAGAAGGTGACATTTGTGTGCCCAGACAGAGTGAGGTGGTGAGAGGTTGGAAAGGATGCCACGCAGTGGGGCAGCAGCTGCCCTGGAATAGCACCCAGAGGGAGAAGGCCGAGGTGTCCGTGGGTCAGCTGCCGTTTTGGTCCAAGTGTCATCAAGTTGACTTATGGCTCACGGCGACACCATGTGACCAAGTAGAAGCACCTCCTCCATGTAAGAGACACCACAAAGGAGCCCTGGTGCTATCGTGGTTACAAGTTGGGATGCTCACTGCAAGGTCAGCAGTTCGAAACCACCAGCTACTCCTCGGGAGAAAAAGGAGGCTTTCTACTCCCAGCAAGAGTTACAGTCTCAGAAACCCACTGGGACCATTCCACCCTGTCTCGTGGGGTCCCTGTGAGTCCGCATAGATTCGCTGGCAGTGAGTTGGGTTTGGCTCTGGAGGGGACACCAGCTTGAGGCCAGGAAGACACCTGGGCTTTTGGTGGCCGAGGCAGGAGAGATTGCAGAGAGCCAGACTCCGGAGGGCAGCAGGTCTGTTAGAGATGGGGAAACTGAGGCCCAGAGGAAGGGTGGGTACCCACAGGCACATAGAGAGTAGATTCTGGGTAGGAATCCGGGGTTCCCTCCAGCTTCTGCAACAGCTTCTGTCCATCCTGAGACAACGGGGTCTCGTGCATTGCCAGGGGCCCATGTGAGGCCACCTGAGATCAGTGCTGACCTGGATTCGGACAGCAGTGGGGTGTGGGGCCCTGGAAGACACAGGGAGAAAGCCCAGCAGTGGAGGGGGTGGCAGGCAGCTCAGCATTGCTCTCGCTGAGAGGATTAGGCCAGTGCCCTGGCCGCTCCTGTTGGGACCTCATCCCCAACTTCCATCCCAGTGCCCTGAATGATCGCTCTGTTGCCCAGAGTCATTTGTTTTGCTTGTTTTACACACTTCCATGAGGAAAGAAAGGGACCCTTTTCTGAAACAGCGATTGAGGGCTGCCTGCTCAGTGCCCAGGACCCACCGCAAGCCTTCTGCCAAGCCTTCACTCTTGGATGCCAGCCATGATGGGTCCATCACTCTTACAGCCACCCCATGTGTGTGTGCAGGTGGGGGTGGGAGGATTCTGGTGTCTGGAAACTTCTACCGCAAGCCAAGCTGGACGCCATCTCTCAGTGCCGTGTGCTGCTCTGGGTCTGCCCCCTAGACATTGCCCCCTCCAACCCCCGAATCATTCCTTTTGCTCCACGACAAGCTTGTGGACCCTCTCTGGGTTAGACAACCCCCCTACCCTCACTCACCTTGCACCTCCCCCATTCTTCCCGAGTCATGAGCCTCCTGCCCCCAGCCCCCTCCTCACAGCCCTCTGTCTCCTCACAGCCGTCCAGAACGAGCGGGACCGGATCAGCACGCGCAGGTCCAGCTACGAAGACAGCAGCCTGCCCTCCATCAACGCCCTCCTGCAGGCCGAAGCCCTGTCTCAGCAGGTACTGGGGTGACCACCCCTCTGTCCAGGACGTTCCTGCCATTTCAGAGTGCACCCTCATCCCCCATGCTCCCCAGCCAGGCCCTGCAGCAGCGGGTGGAAGGGCCTCAGGTATTTAGGAGGGAAACTGAGGCTAGAAACATGGTGCTGCCGGTGCTTCGCTGCCTCTTTTGTAGCAAAAGCAGAACTTGCACCCAGGTCCAGAGGCCTGGCCCACTTGCTAGTTCGTCTGGCTGCCTGCACGTGCAGGTCAGGCAGAATCCTTGCTCTCACGGAGGCCCTGTGACCAGCTCGGCACTGAGCAGGCGCACTGGGACAGGGCTGCACGGAGGCTCAGCCACGCTCAGCTGTGGGACCTTGAGAGCATCACAGCTCCTCTCTGGGCGGCGATTTCTTCACCTATCAGGTGGAGACAATCATTGTCCTCAGGGCCTAAGGGAATCCTGGGGCATCTAGGGAGCTGGACGCCGGCCTCCAGGGGAGAGACCACAGAGGAAGACCCACAAGGAGCCCTCCTCCCTCATGCTGGCCTCCTCAGCGTGCCACCATCTGCCTGCTCTGCCCCTGAGCTTCCTTCAGAGCTGGGAAGGCGTCCAAGGTCCAGGACTGAGGGTGACGGGGGCAGCCGGCCATTCTCTTTGTCTCCTTCAGATCACCTCCCCCGTCTCCGGGGTCAACAGCGACATCCGGGCGAAGAAGATCGCCAGCATCTCGGACGTGTGCGAGTCCATGAAGGAGCAGCTGCTGGTGCTGGTCGAGTGGGCCAAGTACATCCCGGCCTTCTGCGAGCTGCCCCTGGATGACCAGGTGGGCGAGGCGGGCCCCGGCAGGGGACACACAGGGTTCTGCTGGCCCACTGTGAGGGTCCGCGTGAAGCCTGGTTCCATTTGACTTAGCAAGAACGCGCAGAGTGCCCACTGGGGCTTGGAGCTCTGTTAACGACTTTACAAACGTTAACCCATACAACCCCTCCAATTGCCCAAAGGGCGCAGGGCGTACTATGATTATCCCCATCTTACAGGTGAGCAAATGGAGACCCAGAGAGGTTAATCAACTCACACAAGGCTGCACAGTGAACATCCTGCAGAGCTGAGACTGGGGCCCAGCAGGCAGCCTCCCAAGTCCAGCCTCCTAACCACTGCGGTCAGGAGCTAGCTCCGAGGCTGTGTGAGCTTGGACATTACTTCCTCTCTGGGGCCTCCGTTTGCTTATCTGTAAGGTGAGCGTGGTAATGTCCCTTCACTGTGCTGCTGAGAGGCCTGGGTCCCGTTGCTACTTGACTAGCACGCAGCCGTGCACTGGAGCGTCTCCTTCCAGAGCCAACCTCAGTTTCTTTCCTGGCATCCCACCAAGGTGGCTGATTCACCCTTTTATTCTCCAAAGTGCATTCATGGGGGTAGCCAAGGATCCCAGAGGGAGAATGGGGCTGGACTGAGGGAGTCGGACGGCTGAGAAGTTTCTGAGATTCTGGAGATCACAGCTCCTGATCAGAACAACCACTAGCCCCCCTGCAGACCTCCTCCCCATCTGCCAAAGGGAGCTGGCCTGGGTCACCTTTGAGCCTCAGAAAGCAGCTCAGGGGCCCTGGGGAGCAGGTAGCCCAGAAGGCCGCTCAGGGGGTGCTGGCTTACATCACTTGCACATTTGCAGAAGAGACTGCTGCTGCTGCTCTGTATGGTATTAGGAGCCCTGGGGCGTAGTGGTTCTGCATTGGGCTGCAGGCCACAGGGTCAGCTGTTCGAAACCACCAGCCACTCCGCAGGAGAAAGACAATGAGACTTTCTACTCCAGTAAAGAGTTACCGTCTCGGGAACCCACAGGGGCAGTCCTACCCTGTCCTATAGGGTTGCCATGGGTCGGCACCGACTGGATGGCAGGGAGGTTTTGTTTGAATTGGCATATTAAAGTTCCGGAGAAGTCCAACCATCTAGGCAACTGCTTCGAGGGCCCCCAGAGGACTCTCCAAGAATGCTCAGCAGCACCCCATAGGGGTCACTCCTGCTGATGCTGGCAGCTGGTCCCCCGTCTCTCGGTTCCCACCCGCTTTGGAGAAATGACAGGGCAGGTATTTGGGCCAGGTTGCCCCTGCCCTCTCCCCTGCTGCTAGGCCCTGGCCCAGGTCCCCTCTGCTGGAGATCCTGTATTAATATTTAATCCCCTCTGGTCCTTCCCAGGGGCTTAGCAGGACAAGACACCCCCTAGCTGAACAATTGTTAATCTCGATTTCCCACTCAAACCTCCCTGGCTGAGGCTCAGAGCATTCTCAGAGAGCAGTGATGGGTGGCCAATAATGTGGGACAATCATTAACGCCCCGACAACCACCCCCAGAACAGGGGGCTGAATCTCAGACCAGGGGGTTTCTGGCTTTCATTCATGGATCAAAAGGAGCCCACCTTGGCTGGGGGACAGCTGGAGGATAGGGACTATTGTCCTCCAAAGGACATCTCAAGGCCATCCCCCCAAGGAATCAGGGCCTCAGCTTGTTTGCTGGTTGCCCTGTTTTGGACATCAATCCTAGACACCTAGGTGGTTGGATGTAATCACAGAAGGGGACGGAAGCCCAGAAAGGGTAAAGGACTTGTCCAAGGTGATGGAGCAAATTGGCCACGGAGCTGGGCTTGTGGCCCAAGTCTCCCGCCTCCCAGTGAGCGAGCCCCGGACTTGCGCCCCGGCTGCTGCTCTCCGTCCAGGTCATGGAATTCACCGCCATCGATTCCGACTTAAATCAACTGTAGAGGAAAGCGGTCCCCAGTTCTCTTCCTTGTCTGTCATCCTCACAAGGTTCTAACGACAGGGGGAAGGAGCAAGAACAGTGGCTGCTCAGGAGGAACTAGATGTGGAGAGAAAGTCAAGAAACGTGTTCATCTGCTCATCCGTTCAAGGAGTCCCGGCCATCACATTCAACACAACAAAAAACTCACCCAAAGAGCAGCCCTGTGGGACTGAGGAGAGACGTGTGGACGTGGCCTCTGTACATAAGACCCCCGAGGCTGCCAGCCTGTCTCCAGTGTTGACCAGCCCACCCTTTGGTTTTCTTGCAAATGCCAAACAAAGTAGGTGGTTTCTGGGAGGACCCCCACCTCAGAGTTCCATCTTCCCAGTCGACCTTGTCCTCCCTGCAGGGAAGGGGGTCTGTCCAGCTGAATCCTACCGTCCAGAGCTTACACCTTTGCCTTGGGAAGGCCCATCCCTGAGACCAATATCCACGTCCAAATTCTTCTGATCCTCTCTGAATCTTGTGGTCTGGTGCCGTTCAACCGGTTCCGGCTCACTGCGACCCTGTGTACGAGCGAACGAAACACTGCCCAACCTGCTGCGTCTGAGTCCACCTTCTCCTCCAGGGTCTTACTCTTTTTCACCGACCTCCTACTGTGCTGAGTATGATGTCCCTCTCCAGGGACAGGTCTCTCCTAATAACGCCATCCAGCGTACACCAGACAAAGTCTGGTCGCCCTGGTTTCTAAGCAACATTCGTACAATACTGCTTCCAAAACAGGTTTCTTTGCCTTTTAGCATTCCATGAACCATAATTCTTCTTCGGTCTCCCTTGTCCAATGGCCAACTGTCACATGCATAGGAGGCCACTGGATGTACCATGGCTTGGGTCAGGCGCGCCTTGGTCCTCAAAGTGACAACCTTGTTCTTCCTCATTTTAAAGAGTCTCATGCAGCGGGTTCACCCAATGCAATGTATCGTTTGATCTCTTGGCTGCTGCTTCCATGAGCATTGATTTTTGGGTCCCAGCAAGGGCCATGTCAATCTTTTCTTGTAGGATTTTGGTTTTCTTTACATTGAGTTGGAATCCATCCTGGAGGCCGCACTCTTTGATATTCATCAGCAAGCGCTTCAAGTCCTCCTCTGAATCTTGGGGTCCTACAAAGTCAAGTGGCTGATACCCTGGAAATCCTCTGGACCTGAGTGTTCCCCCACACAAGTGCACAGCAGAACCAACCAGGACGATTTTGAAATGCAGATTCCTGGGCCCTGCCCTATGCTGACTAAATCAGAGTCTCTGGCAGTACGGCCGTAGAATCTGTTAATTTTCTGGAGCTGGGCCATTGGCAGAGCATCAGGATGCTCCATGGGGGTGAGGGTGGGGTGGATCTCAGAGCCTCTAGAGCAGGAGTTGGGAATGGGTCCTTTTCCTACCAAGGGCCATTTGGACATGTATAACGTCATTCAGGGGCCATATGAAATGATCAACTTAAACATTGCCTGCTGTGTTTAATTAACCTTTAATTAACTCACGCTTCATGTGATGGCAAGGAGCACTGGTGGTATAGTGCCTACACACTGGGCTGCTAACTTCAAGGTCAGCAGTTCAAAACCAGCAGCTGCTCTGTGGTAGAAAGAGGGGCTTTCTACTCGCATCAAGAGTGACAGTCTCAGAAAACCCACTGGGTTGTTAGCTCTCGCCTGTCCTACTGCGTTGCTGAGCATCAGTGTGACCTCAATGGCAGTGAGCCGGGTGCTGTGTTGACCGTGATACGGCTGGAACTGCTCTCTGGGGAGCGGGGTGTGATGTGAGCTGGTTGTGAGGATTTCAAGGGCCAGGAGTCCCCCATTCCTGCCACAGAGAATCTGATGCCAATCCCTGAGCCTCTGATCAGAAGAGAGAGCCCCAGAAGGTTGCTTCCTGGACCCCCCAGGTACGCAGACCATCCTGAGAGGAATGGCTGTACCACCACCATCCCCGGCCCCAGGGGCACAAAACCCCACGCAGGACCCCTGAGGGTCCCTGGCTAGGGGAGGCAGGCAGCAGTGCCATGAGGCCCACTTGGTGGATGGGGCAGGAGGAGGCCGCCGAGGGGCCCGTCCAGCTGACTACCTGGGACACTGAGTGGCCAGCATTCCTCCCAGGGGTGCAGCTGCCAGAGCCTGTCCCTCTCTCTTCCAGGTGGCCCTGCTCAGAGCCCACGCCGGCGAGCACCTGCTGCTGGGAGCCACGAAGCGGTCCATGGTCTTCAAGGACGTTCTGCTCCTGGGTGAGGCGGGGGGCGCCTGTTCCCAACTGAACACCCCCCGGACCCCAAGCCAAACTCAGCTCACTGCCGTCAACTCGATTCCTGCTCATAGCAACCTTAGGTCAGGGTAGAACTGCCCCTGTGGGTGTCTGAGGCTGTACATCTTTACCGGAGCAGTCTCATCTTTCTCCCGCAGAGCGACTGGTGGGTTTGAACCCCCAACCCTTCGGTGAGCAGCCCAAAGCGTAACCCACTCCACCACGAGGGCCCCCTGGAGAGCCCCCTTGGATGCGAGAGTGGACATTTCCCAGTGTTACAGTTATGGAGAGAGTTAGAAGCTCCAGGCTGCCGGTGGGATAAAGGCCTGGCAATCTGCCCCCATGGAGAGTACAGTGAAGGGAACCCCAGGGGGCAGTTCTAACCTGTCACATGGCATCAAACCCCGACTCCATCCGCACCCAACAGCAAGCATTCAAGGTCGAGCAGGCCGGGCTGTCCCCAAATCACCCGTGCCTCCTGGAGTAGGGATGGGAGGTGGGCCTGGGATGGCCCATGTCCCCTGGGCATGCTGCCTGCCAGGTCGTAGTCGTTGTATCCGTTAATTCGTTAACTACAAGCAAGGAGAGCGCGATCACGTAGCCTGCGTCACCGAGGAGGAAATGAAGGCGCTGAGAGACTAAGTGTCTAAAGTTGCCCGGCTATGTGTGGAGAAGTTCGAGTTTGGCCTGAGCTGCCCAGCTCCTCGGCCTGAGCCCTTAGCCTACGGTGGCTTCTCCCAAGTGGCCCTTGAGGGCCACGGGTCTTGTGAGTTGTGTTTGGGGATAGCACATGGGTGACAAGGAAGAAGCCCAACAGAGCAGGCTCCTGCCGGGGTGGGTTGACTTCAAGAAATTCATCCCCTTGATCCGGGCATCAGCTGCCTCATCTGGGGGCGAGCCAGGCCCCATGGGACCCTTCTTCCTTGCCAACGGCAAAGGGCACACCTAGACCCCAACTAGGGCAGAGTGCTAAGCCCAAGGGTGGCCATCCATCCCCGCTTCCTCCCGCCCCGCCCAGGCAATGACTACATCGTGCCCCGGCACTGCCCAGAGCTGGCGGAGATGGGCCGGGTGTCCATGCGCATCCTGGACGAGCTGGTGCTGCCCTTCCAGGAGCTGCAGATCGACGACAACGAGTACGCCTGCCTCAAAGCCATCATCTTTTTCGACCCAGGTACAGCCACGCCTCCTCCTCTCCCTCCTCCTCCTTGCTGGTGCTCCTGCCCTCTGTCGGGTGTCTCTTACTGCACACACAGAGCCAACAGCCCCAACTCCTGCTTCCAGCGGCCAGAGCGCTTGTTTTCATCGGCCCCCTTTAACAAAGAGAAGAACCGAGGCTCAGAGGGATGCAATGACTTGATGGTTCACACCCACTCCAGCCCTGCTTCTCTCTCTCTCTCTCTCTCTCTCTCTCTCACTCTTTATTTTCTCTCCCCTCTTCTTTCACCTTTTCTTCAAGTAAAGTTTATCAAAATAATATCTACACATGCTAAAACGTGCCAACAGCCCCACCCCCATTCTGCTCCCACTTTCCCAGCCCAAAATCTCTTTCCCAAGGGATTTGCCACTTCTAATTCTATCTGCTTTTTCCAACAGTTACCACATCACTATAAACAAAATGCTAAGCTCTACTCTCTCTGTCTCTATCTGTCTATCTCTATCAATCT